AAAAAAAAAAAAAAATAAAATCATAGGACAATAGGCCGCTCGAAATCGTTCAACTTTTTCCTTTAGAATATTTTACTATCAATAACCAAACTCAACATATAATTAATCCGAATTATCAGCCTTACGTTTTATATCTATATATAATACACCTAACTCACACGAACTATTTTCTCCGAGACATTGCATACGTTGACTTTATTTTTGTTTTAAATTAAATGGGTAACAGAACTAATCACTTGGCATGCGCCAAGTTTCCTACTTTCTTTCATTTTACACTATAAAGCAGTTATAACAAGGGATATTTTTCCTAAAAAAAAAGAAAAAAATATAAAGTACACCTATTCTATGTTTACAGTCATTTTATTAAATATCGAAAATAATTTTTTATAGGTTAACATAAAATATTAAACGATAACTATTACTTTCGTGATAAAAGTATAAAAATGAGAATACATACTGTGATTTCATTATTGTATCAATGTTATCGAACGTACAAAACGGTATTCGCAAAAGGTTTAAATACATGTTTGAAAAAAATTAATATTCCGTTCCATTTATAAAGGAGTGAAGGGCCCACTAAGTAGTTGTCCCTCTAGTAACCGCATTATTAAAGCTTGTTATGCTACGTTCACACTGGAATTTACGAACAGGTCTGACCAGTATAAATATCGCATTCCACGCTACATATGTGATTAGCCCCGTATTCCATTTAATCAAAAACAAAACTGACGTCGTTATCTATATCGATTTCGGAGAAAATTGTTCAATTTATTTAGCTTAACCTGCATAATGAATAGAAATGCGATTATCTCTGCTGATTAATTGTATATATTCTTATATTAGATATACTGATACATCGAATTCTTTGCAGTATGGTCTTTATTCGTGTTTAATGGGCAACTTTCTCTACCTCTTTTTTGGAACAATCAAAGAGGTGTCAATTGGTCCTTCATCTTTGATGTCGCTTCTCACTTTGGAATACACAAGAAACATGCCAGTGGATTTTATTGTGCTTTTCTGTTTTCTCGCTGGTTGCGTAGAATTACTAATGGGCGTATTACGTTTAGGCTTGTATCAACACAATAATTACCAACCATAGACATTTCCAAAAATTTAAAGAAATTATAAAAAGGTCGATAACACCATGATATATACTCAGATGTAAACTCATTGTTAGTATAATATCTCAATTAATTTTATCTATGACAGTAATTGATTAGCCATTTTGTTTATTTTTCTAAATTTTTACTTCTGATAGCGAGTCATTGTTTGTAGCGAAGTTTTTTGTTCTATCACATCTTTTTATTAATTTATTTTATTATTTTATTTCGTATTTTACTTATCATTTTATCTTATATAATATGACTTATAACGAATTATAATGTAGTTAAATACTATATTCGATCATTTTTTTTCTAACATAAAAATAGTATATGATCGCAAAAAGTTCCGAAATTTATATTAATTTTAAAACCGAATTAAAAATTATTCGAGAAAATAAGTTAGGAAAGATTATTTACGAAACGTACGTTTACAAGTCGGCGAATTTTTAAAATTTGTAAGAAACTAGGCAGAGAAAGAAAATATTTACATTATAAACAATTATTCCCTTTTTCTTGTATACTAATTAATCGTTAGTACAAGTATGCATTGGTTATACGTTAATTTCCTTTTTAAAATTAAAAATTTCTTTAAAAGTTAAAATTTTTCCGATTATGATCCCACAAAATTTACACACGTGTGATATACATAAAATCGCTTTCTTTTACGTTTTTCTTCATTTCCATCTGAATGTACTTCATTATTGTAACGATCTATATATACGCGCAATTAACAGAAAACAAATTAATATTCGGATTATTGTACATATTCGATTATAAGTATTACGACATATATTTTCTTTTTCCTTTTTAATGTATTAAAATGTTCGTAGTTGTTAATTGTAATAATGTTTGATGCATGAGAAATAGTACGACGAACACATTAGATTTAAATACAAGTTTTTAAATCAATACACGAATACAAATATTTGAATACAAATATTTTAAGAGAGCATTTCAAGAATAAGCTTTGGGTTAATCTTCATTGAAGTTTTAAATGGGCCTAAATAATTAAATATAACGAATACGAATATATACTTCTATTAAAAAATTTGGGATCACTTATTCAGTGAAAAGAGAATTAATTTAAGAGATTAAGAGATTAAGAGAAAAAATTATTAAAATTTTTCAATAATAGATATGATTATAGCAAAAAGGTTAGTTTACAATTATTAATCTATGTTGAAACAAATTAAATGATTCAACCCTTAACACGATGCTACTAATTCTCTGTAATCATATTTAATCTTAAGTAACAAAGAATCGTGAATTATTACAAAGAAATTAATTATCTAACGATAAGATAAGATATATTATTTTCCTTACGATATATTCAAATAATTTTGAATGATAAATATCTCATGATCCGTTAAACTGCTTGAGATATAGAAATTACTATAAAGACAAGGTGATGGGGAAAATCAAAACATAGGAAATTAATATATTTACTAGGGACAAGAAATAGAAAACTATATTATTTTCTATTTTATTTTCTTTTATAAATCGCGATTGTTAAAAGTTACCCCAATTTTTTTAACAGTAGCATACATAATTATGGCAGATTACTAAATTTTGACAGGATAACAGTTTAGGACAAAAATCTACAATTTTTAAGGAATATTTATTACACAAATTACCCAAAAGTACTGCCACTTTGCAGTCACAATTTACGAATTTTTAATCTTGCAGAGCTCTTAGGGCATTTATTAAATCGTAGAAAATATTCATAAAGGGCCCATAAGAATAAAAATAAAAGGACCCATAAAGTCAAAGGTCCGATTAACTTTTAATCATTTATTAACATTTATTAACATAATGATTACTAAACATTATCGTTTGACCAAACAACTAGAACAAATTATTAACAAAAGAAGGATCTAATTTACTGTCTTTTATGTGAAAAATCATGCGCATTAGGTAAATGAATTACATGATTCTGTTAACTACGATGAGCGTTATAGTCCATTTTGTTAATACTATTCTCTAATAATAATTCTCTCGAACGTGTCAATGTCCGAATATTAATACGAATTAATTTATATCCTCGTTTATTTATTTAATGACACGAAGAAATTTTGTATATAGGCTTTTTGGTAGATTTTATATCGATACCCGTAACGTCAGGATTCACTTCGGCCACTTCGATTATTATAATCATATCGCAGTTGCAAGGGCTGCTAGGGCTGAGATTCAAAGGGCACAGTATCACCGACAATCTAGTAAAGATTTTTCAGAACATTAAAAATGTACGAATGCCAGATTTTATCCTTGGACTTTGCAGTATAGCGTTTCTCTTATTCTTCAGAGTAAGTTTCCACGAGACAATTATGGATTGAAGCAATAGTTTTCAATTTCGCTAACCTCAAAATATGTTTCCATTCAGCAACTCAAAGACATTAATCGCTGTTTTGGAAAAGATAATGGTCGATCGAAGAAGAAGAGTAAAACGATGTATCTGAAGAAATTCTTATGGTTCCTTTCCATCTGTCGCAACGCATTGGTAATCGTGATTACGTCCACGATAGCCTTTTATTTCGAAAAATATGGATCATCACCTTTCATTCTCTCAGGTTTATATTTGCATTTGTTTCTTATTTTTGAATATTTATTAACCTCTTAAAGACCACACGCGGGTTAACATAACCTTACTTTATCTATTAAAATAAAACCATGCATATGTGTAAGTACATACGTAAAATGTCTGTAAAATGTCAATTTTTTGTTATTTTTATCACGATACTATATATAAATAATATCTAGATTACTGGAGATAATTATCTTTATTATTAAATTGATAATATAAAAGTCGGAAATGTTTGACCGATTTTTGTGAAATAATTCGGCCTTCAAGAGGTTAAAGAAATTTTTACCATGAGGTATTTGTTGATCTTCTTTTCTTTTCTTAACTTTTGTTTTTAATTTAAAGGAAAGATACAGTCAGGACTTCCTAAATTCGCTTTACCTCCATTTTCATCTCAGGTTGGGAACGAAACTTACACTTTTTGGGGCATGTGTTCTCATATAGGGTCAGGAATAATCGTATTGCCTCTTGTGTCCGTGTTGGCGAGCGTAGCTATCGCTAAAGCATTTGGTAAAAGCATAAATTATTGCAATTTTGAAGACCTGTATTCAAAAGGCATTATTACGAATATATTTTTCAATTTATGTAACCAGGGGATCGGAGAGTTTTCACTAAATATACCTGCGTTTTCTCCGAATTTTTCCGAAAATTTTTTACAATGGAGAATTCGATAGTCATGGAGGTTCCAAACGTACAAAATGGACATTGCAATATTCGCTTATTTTCTCACGTAATTCCTGTACATTTCAAATTTAATTAGCGATTAGTATTTATTTCGCGTAAAAAGTATTTTAAATCGCAGCAAGCATAGAAACTTCAAATTAAAAGACAAATTTAAATTTATCAAATCTGCATCTAATTTTAGATCTTTAACTCTAATTAAAGGCTTAATTTTGAATTAAACCTTCTTTAAATCTTAAAATAAAAAATTTAATTATAATTTAAATTTTCCTATCCTCCTTCGCCATCTTTCAACTAACATTAAACCAGAATTTTTCTTACTCTACGATATTTCTTTGGGAAATTATATAAATCATTATCTCCACATGCTGTTTGTTTTATACACATTTTATACTCCGTGCACGATTTATAATTAAGATAGTAGGGTATTAAAATAATCTTAAATTTGTCTAGAATTTATCAAGGAATATCAACACTCAAAAGCGAAATACATATTTAAATTTTGCCACGTGTGTAAATCTACATATATTACCACACATATCTTAGCATTAAGTTTCGTAATTAATGGAAAATCCCAGACATCCGTTTAGTGATTTTATACATGTATGTATCTGGTTCCGTGATTCACAAACGTGTGTGCGGTCACGTGTCTTCGTGATTTAAATTTAGGCGCCTTCATACGATCGTAGATCGTTAATCGATAGGAAATATTGATTATTATCTTCAAGCAATATTTAAATATTTTTCGATATCCTCGAAGTTTTCTCAATCAAAAATTACGACGCGTAGAAATTATGCTTGATTAATGACTTTTAACCCATTTCATAGCTTTGCGATTTAACAACAGTATATTAACAACAGTGTTGCTTATAAAGCTGTTTCCTTGAAAACTATTAAAAATAACAATAGGATATTTTTAATTCCAGTTGCTTATCGGATTTTCGTCTGAAAAAATTAGAGCAATTCTCTTATCTTGTTAACACTAAACTATCAAGTTAGCAAGAATGACTGATATCAGAGTTGGTTTCTACAACTACTAGAAACGCTTTTCATACGATTACTGTCTCATTGTACCTTAGCTATTACATAATTATTATGTAACTTTTACATATTATGTATTATTACATAATTGTTGTATAATTATTACATAATTATATTATTATTTATGTTATAATATATATTATTATAATATAATTGGAGCATTATTATTATTATATAATTATGATACGGTATTATATTAAAATATTAGGAAATTTTTATTATCATCATCTGCATATATAATACTTATTTAGGTTATAAATTGCAGATCGATAGTTGTATTAACATTAAATCTAGCACGATCATTTTTCCAGTCAAATGACTTGATGAGGTACATCACATGATTTGCAGGAAAAACACATCTACACGTACACACCGTATCTCGCTCCTACCCATTCATACCCCTACCTAACCTAATTCACACGCCTAACCTCATAACTCTTGGGATTGTGGGTTTTATTGATTGCAAAAGAACAACAACGTATTCTCTATTCCTGACTTATTCTTTATTGGTCAAGAAAAGTATATCGTCTCTGTCAAAATTCTTATAAACGATTGACCGACTCCATTGTCAAAATGACGCAGTTCCCCTACCGGAACCCTAACTCCAATCTATGTTTTAAGGAAACAACATTGTATCTCAGAACCTTTCTTGACGCGTAGTCCAGTCACACACTTCATATACGAGATTGAATTTTGCTGTTAAATGAAATCGACTTTTTTCAATTATAATTACTTAACCTATCAAATAAATTGGGATAAATTAATCATTAAAACAATACAAAATTTCGATATAACCTAAAAAATAATTCAACGACTACCTAAGTGAATCTGATACCACTTATTACCTACTCTTAGGTGATTAGGCAGAATTATCAACTATAACTTTCCGCTTCCTTTTCAGCCTAAAATTCTTTCGATATTCTCCTGTCAACTTCATCATTCTTTCATAAACCTCCCACATAATGCTTCCACGATTTTTCCTCTTGTTTATACAATCTACGCAACCCTTCCTCCTCCTCTAACCAATACCATTGTAGTATTCCAAGTATTTATTTTCGCTACAACTTACATGGGAACTTTGAGAGGAACGACGTACGTACTAGATTTTCGACAGTGACACTCCAAACCGACTACTAGCACAAGAATGATGATTTTGGAATGATTGGCAATTTTTATATGTGAATTAGGAAGTAAGTGGGGATTGTCTACAGATCGAAGGTTAAGAGAGGATAGTGCAGGAAATATCAGGGCAATATGGGCAATAAAGCAATAAGCACTAGGGCAATAAGGATGAATAAGAGAAAAAAGGGAAGTAAGGAATAAAAGATAAAAGGGAAAGTTAGCCGATTTGGAGTTTATTCAATGTACATAAATAAGTACGAATAGTTGACTGAACAGTCATCTAACACCATCCTTCCTTGATCTCATTCCCTAATCTGTATCTATAAATTATAGTCACTCATCTTTTCCTCTTTTCTGTCCAGTTCTCCTTTATGTACTCTACGATCTTCTCTTGTTTCAAGCATTTATACCATTTGTCGTATGACAACTACCAAATCCTTTGCTCCCGCTCCCTCTTCTGTATCTCCTTATCTCTCTTTTCAACTATTTCTTATTTCGATTCTCGCTCTTCGCCATTTCGCACCTTTCTCGAAGGTTCGTTCGATCTTTCTTTTTGGGGAGAATAAATCAGACGACGCTTGCGTCTTTGTACAAACGTAGGCTAATTCAATTTCAGGTCTGTAGGATTTATTTACCATAATACAAGAGAAAATGTGTTTGATGTGCTGCTCTAGTATTCTGACTGCCTGAGTTCCCGTATTTTCGTGTATTTAGGAATTCAGGTGCTGTAATTGGTCGACGTGGCGTGTACCTGATAGGTGTATTTCTTTCTATTAGTGGTGTGCCTATTGAAGGGTGTGTATGAAGTTAGGTGTCCTTCGGTGGAGGTGGAAGTTAAACAAATTCGAGCCACATTTTCAATCTTTGGGATTTGTAATCTTTTGTTAGGGATTAGTCCAGATGGTGTTTGGAAGACCGTCCACGAGCCGTGAAATGCTAGTAATAAGGAAATAAACCGTTGTCCCCTTGACTCGAGCCTTCGGTCTTCGAGAATGAATGCAGAGAATGAATACTTAATCTCATATCTTCTCTAAACTCTTTGTCCCCGTCTCATTTCCTCCTTCTAACACTCCCTTGTCAACACTCCTTTACCTTCTTTTAAATTCTTCTCATATATTCTTGCCGTCTTTCCCGCTCTTATTCCCAACAAATCCATTTTCCACTCCTACCTCACCAAATAACCTGCTGTCCTCCAATCAACTCCCACCACCGATCTCAAATATCTCTCGTATAACTATTCCACCTGTCTCCTTTCCTTCCATCCCCAAATCTCCGCCCCCTAACCTACCTCCAGCTACACCAATTTATCAAATAACCACACCCTTTTGCCCTATTTCTTCCCAAAACCACCTTTTCTTAATCCACGTATAGTGCGTTCGAGAAAAGAAGGCACAGCCTGTTTACATCCTCACAGCTGATTGACTCCGTTGACACTCGCTTGATCACAGTGATCGTTTTTGGTCAAAAGCGGTAACCGATGATCTTCGTCAGCCGTGAGAATGTGAACACGCTGTGCCTTCTTTTCTCGAAGGCACAGTACTTGCCTCATAACCCTCGCTGCTTTCTTAGCTCTTTCTGTCGCGTGTTCGTCTGGACCCCCACTCCTTCTCAATCTAATCTAACAAGGGAACATATTCGAGTAGAATACGCGGATTTTGATGAAATTTATACGAGGGATAGTTTTCAAAAAAATATTTGAAACGTAAGTAGGTGAACTCCTTTACCTCATTTATCCCTTTTCCATTCCACTTCCATTCTACCTACTTTCCTCCATCTACGCCAAACCTCGTAACCTTCGTTTCCTGCGTATTCAAACCTAACCTTTTCTCTCTCCCATGGTAGGCTTAAGCCCCTGCACTGCGATTAAATTACGAAAAGTTATGCATTAAAGTAGTATTTAATTTTGATTGACCACTGTATACCTATTCCATCCGCAATAAAATTATATAAAAATTTTACAAATTCTTCGAATTTTGTACATGTTAAAACGTATGAAATATAATTATGCTCATGTGATTATTGCAGCTTATAATAGTGAGATTTGACACGAAGAATTCGTGACGAGATAGACTCGTCGTTGCAATGCAAAGGGTTAACACTAAAACTACCAAACCAGTCAATATGACTAGTTTCCGATTTTCTATCTTTGTATTTATCCAAAAAGTACAACTACTTTCGTTCAAATTAACGTTATCTTTTATCGAGACAGAAATATAATTATATAATAACTAAATATTTTAATTGTAACTATTTTGGGTGTTGTGATTCGCATAATGCTTCGTTAATTTGAAAACGAAACATTTGTTTCAAATATATTCTTCTACAACAAGATTTATACTCGAATACGAATAACTACGAAAAACATATAAACTAATGTACATAATATTTTCGACCAGAAAACGACGCCACTGGAGCTCCTCCAAATTCGCATTAAATTCTTGGACCCGTTGGCGTCGATTCTCAAAAGCACCAAGTTAAGAACTTCGGTTCTCATTGTCGAGGGGAAATTTTGCAATAACATGTCCAAGATTAAATATATAAAAGGTTTATCTCGCAAAAGCGAGATTTCGAAATATTCGCAATATTTTGAATACAGGTCCACACTTTTCGTTGTCGCGAATCGATGAAGTAAGCCGGACGAGTTTTCGTATTTTTAGCGAGCGGCAGCAGCGTAAATGCGACACAAGAGATGTTAACGCTCGGTTTGTGCAATATATTCGGGAGTTTCGTTTCATCGATGCCAGCTGCAGGCGCGTTTACAAGAAGTGCCGTGAGTACCGCCAGCGGCGTTCGAACGCCTATGGCCGGTATATACGTGGGTAATATCCTTGTTTCGAGGCGACACGACTCGTAATACCTACTACGAGAGAAAATCAAAAATGAAAATGACATTTCCAGAAATGAAAAATTTAAATCTTTTAGGACAGTCCCCTATGAATTTGGGGCAAGAAAAAAGGACATCTTCGAAAATTTGTTTCAAAGAAAGCATAAGATTTTTCGACACGGGATTTTTACCATCTTGTTTATTCGTGTCTCGAGAACACTCGCTGTTTTCTTTCGATATAAACTAATGGAAATTTTAGAAGTTATATGGACCGTTTATTTCGAAAGTGGTGCAAGTCCATTTTCCGTTGTTTCGAGAAAATTAAAGGTTAGCATATTTATCAATTAAAAAATATAGGTTAATTATGTTAGGTCTAGCAATGTTTCTATTAATTTATCAATATGTAATTTGATTATATAAATTTCTTTTAGGCGAATTTAACTAAAATAATTTATATTTACGGGCTGCAAATGGACTTACACCGCTTTCATAATTAGTCGATTTAAAAATCATTTAATTTCAATTTTGAAAAATTAAATATCACTTAAAATATATTTCCTATAAATCCAACTTTGTTTATAAATAATAACAAGAAATAAAATAGGAGTAGTATTTTTTATTTTGAACGTTAATTATATTTATATATTGTTAAACTTAACATAAGATATTGATATTATTTATTTATGCTCTTCATATGGCAGTGTTTTGAAATATTCATGATGCACAGGAAGTATATAAGGTAATAACTGCCCCATAGCCTTATATTTTTCGTATATAATAGGCCTGGAATCGTGATACAAAGGCGCCAGGGTGATTTTTTCAAATTTTCGCAGTCTTTCCCGACACGTAGGTGATAACTCTAAAGTTTTAAGTTCCATATTCTCCATTGATATTTTCAATTGTCATAAAATAATATTGATTTACTATTTCTTCTTACCTATATCACTATCTAATATTAATATGAAATTATCCACTTTTGGAGGAAAATAAAATAAGTAACCAAAAATAATAACTTTCAACGCGTGAAATAAAACAAATGTAGCCACCAGTTGCAACTGACCCCGCCATCTGTCTATGAAAATTGGACTTACACCACTTTTATAATCAATGATTACGCAATTTCTTTTATCAGCCAATTTTTAATTGAACAATTTTGCCGTTCTTCCCCGACATGTAGGTGATAAATCTAAAGTCTTAAATTGTATGTTCTCCATTGATGTTTTATATAAACTAGTATTCTGTGCACTTTTGCAAAACCTCATTTAAAGTATTTCCAACCAATTTACCTTTTCTTCATTAGTGTTTCTTCTTATCTGTTCTTTAATTGCGTCTTTTAGACTTTTCGTTGAAATGAAATTCTCTCATTTCATTTCGTGTAAAATAAATTTATTACGTTGTCTACATTGTTTTATAACATCATAATAATCCTATGGAAATTGGACTTACATCACTTTCATAATCAATGGCCACGCATTTTCTTTTGTCAACCAATTTTAAATTGAACAAAGCCTTGGTATTTTTTAAGATATTAAATACTAACTAGTTATAAATAAAAAGTTTACACTGAATTAAGCATAAATTACGTGATATCTCATTTTTTTAAAATGGACTTACACCACTAACAAAATAAACGGTCCATATATGTAAGAGGTGTAGTTTGAGAGACCGAAGAAACACGGGTTAAAAATAAAGAAAACTTCTTGTTTAAAAGATTTATTTTTCACACATTGGTCTCTTTCTCTGCGCAAGGATCTTTTACGAACTGAGCTCGACGATTTCACACGCGTGGAATCCTCCCATTGTTTTATAACGATCGAGAGCATAAAACCAGCGCCATTCATCTATAGACGGTTCTCTTACATGTATAATTATATTTACGGTAACGAATTATTAAAAACGAAAAGATCGAAAGATTTAAGACAGTAGCCAATGAATAGTAGTGATATCTTAATACACGTTGAACAATTCATTTACGACTGTTTACAATTTTTCTGATATTCCCCGTGAAAGGTAATAAGAATTTAAACGAACTATTTAAGTTAATAATACTGTCAAAATCAATAATATTGTCAATATCGAGAAGCATCGATAACATTATTAATCATTATTGAACAATATTGAATTTGTTTTTATTGTCGATACTGATATCGTTAAATTGAATTGATAATATTATTGTCGATATCACTGACCGTGTTCAGGTTCTTTTATGTAACTGAATTCTTAATTAATGAAATTATACAAAGATTATAAGGGTATTCGAATTCTCTATTCGTTTATTACACAGCTTATTAAATTACTATTTTTATTAAATTATTTAATAACTTTATTAGCTTTGTTAAATTAATTATTAAATTCTACTATATATTATTTACTATCAAATAGTTGATTGTATTATTTTATTATATTATTATTAGACAGATGTTGATATAAGTACATATATTTCTAAAGTATAGATAAAGAAAATAAAATCTAGAGAAAAATTTATTTCGTCACTAAAGGATTTTAAAAATGCATTTTTTATTTTATATATTTATATTTATTTTCTTATTTTTTATAAAGTATAGATAAAGAAAATAAAATCCAGACAAAAATTTATTTCGGCACTAAAGGATTTTAAAAATGCATTTTTTGTTTTGTATATTTATGTTTATTTATTAATTATATACTGTATATTATACTTTATTTTTTAATTAATGATCCTAAGAAAACAGTTAAATGATACATTATAGCTGTAAATACAAATTAAAACAAGAAAGACTATGATTAATTAAAATGCAAACAATAGTTTCAGTGACTTGATTGAAAAATCGAGAAGTCACTTTAATTTTTGATTTTCTCTCGTATATAATGATCCCCATTTTTCTCGCTAAATTATTATGAATAATATGAACATATTGCAGGAACTATGACTTTACTAGCCCTGAGCTTCTTAACGCCATATTTTTATTATATCCCACGTTCCACGCTTGCAGCAGTGCTGATAAGCGCGGTAATATTCATCATTGACTTGAGGATAATAAAGCTATTGTGGAAAGGATGCAGTAAGTTGTGTTGTAATTTTTCCATAAAGTAATTGCATAGATAATTGAAAAAAAGATTTGTATATTCACGTATTAAACTATTACAAATGTTCAAATATTCTCACAAAGTATTGCTAAATTGTTTATTCGGTAATATTATTTTCTCCTCATTTTCCATAACAGTTCATTATACTTATAATAATAGTAGTTATACTATCAGACATTTCAATGCTTATTTTACATTAAATTTTTGTCTGCTATTTTGTAATGTATTTTATAATTTATTTTAAACTGCCTTGTAATTTAATTGTAGATTATTTTATAATCTAATTGTTATTTTATAATGAACTTTCTAACGTCATTTTTAAGTTTATATGAATATTTCAAATTTTTGATTAATGTAGAAATAAATGATGAGAAATTGATATAAGATAAATGTCATATTGTTTGAATTATGACTTACAAATCATACATTTCCAATAAAATAATTGTTAAATATTAAATATATTTCTATTGTTATGTAAAAAAAATTGTAAAAATATTTATGCTTAAAATGTGATTTATCTGAAATTGTTCTTGCTGTTTTTTCTCGATTAATTTATCATATTGCACGTTTAATAATCTATTTCTCGTTGCAGAAAGGGACGCCATTGCGGCGATAGTGACATTTTTAGTTAGCATTTTATTTGGCGTTGAATTGGGACTTTTAGTCGGTGCTTTGTTTAGTTTAGTTTTCTTCCTCCGACCGCCTGCTAGGCCACAAATTGATGTAATTCAGTGTAAGGTAAAAGGTAGTACTATATTAGAATGCATTCATAATAACAATGCTAATAAAACCTGCAATCCTGTCCTGCTTCGTGAAATTCCATCAGTACTTAAATCTCCTGTAAAAATGTGCAAAACATTATTTGCTATTAAGATATATATTACAATTAAACGAACAAGGTACGATATTAAATTTTAAAAGACTTCTATTATTATTCCCTTTATACTTTTATCAAGTATAAAAATAAATAATTGCAAATTGTTCCCATAATATTTATACAGTAAATTCATGCTCATACCTTATAAAGTACAAATAAACTGATATCAAAATTTATATCGTAATTTGTTATATCAATACCATTTTAACAAATTATTATTAACAATTTTCCAAAATATTTATCAAATGAAAAATATTCGGCTTTCCAAAATTAAGTAATCTAACAATAATAATTAACGACAATGAAATTGTACAAAAATTATTCCTTTTTCTTTATTTAGTATTCAGAACCATATTAGAAAGTTAAAATAGTAATAACAATTTTTCAATTTACTGTATATAATTATATTACGGAAAAATTATATTTTTGTACCTTTTATAAAAACGTTTTTTCCATTAATTTTTTAGACACAAGTAGGACACAAGTACATAATACTCAAACCAGATACTGGAATCTTTTATCCTGCTGCAAATTATTTTTGCAGTAAAGTGATGGAAGTAATTCGTAAATACGATGAAAATAATGTACTGTTTATCATCGACTGCGAAAGAATACGAAGTATTGATTATACTGCAATAAAGGTAATAGTTTATGCTGTATCTCGTATGTGGCAATATATATGAGTTAATAATTTTTTGCATTATACAAAATTTTTAATAAATTGATAATTATATTTAAATGATATAATAATGTAATAATTGTATTTAAATTCATACATTATAGATATGCTGTATATTTTTAAATTATAGGGTATCGAGTTAATAACAACAAATATCAATTCCGAGAAGAAAAGGTTATGGTTCTTAAACGTGTCTTCAAAAACATTTAATAGTATCGAAGCATTTACAAATAATGAATACTTTTATTTTATTGATGAAGAAGATAAAATATCTTCCATCTTTCACGGTATATTTTATGTTTTTTTTTCATTTAACAATATTTGGACAATATTTCGATTAATTAATTTTTTTAAACAATTAAAAAAGACATTTATTATATTTTATTATACAAATGCACTTGTTATATTTTTTAGATACCCTCTTAATAAGCAAAGCAGATGAAGCAAAAAGTCATCAGTTGGAAAATATGGTAGAATGTACAACATTAACCTGTAAAGATGATAAAAGAGATTCAGAAATACTTACGAAATTCACGTCAAACTCTACAGATGACGTTGAAGGAGTTGCATTAATGTCACCGTCTTCACAAGCAATAAATCAAAAATAAGAAATATAATTTTGATAGTTAATAATTTTCTAATTCGTATTAAACTAAATGAATTTATTATCAAAAATACAAGAATATGATTGCAACACGTGAACGTATAAAAAATTTTTTTACAAACATAACAATAGTTTGAAGAGAAGCTGATCGTTGAGATTGTTGGTCTGTGTAACCTCCAAATTAAATAAGTTTCTTACATGTAATATAAATGTTTACAATAGCGAAAATTATATTCGGTCTAATATCTCCATTATTGGTCTTATTATATCTTCTATTGATGGTCTTCATTTCCAGCCAGTTATACTCACACAACATTTTATCTATTACAAATTTATTTCCATTAATATAATAAGAAAATTAAAGATCTTTTAATAATATTTTGTAAAAAGTAAAGTTTATATTCTTTTTCAGATTGCTTGATTTTTATTTTGTAATCGTTATCGTTTCTTTTCTTCTTTGATTTTCTTTTTTCATTCTTCAGCAGTTACAATTTTTGTTTCTTATTTCTGAATGAAAGTAGTATATAATATAAAAATATTAGAAATTTGAGATATTCTTCCAGATGGCACCCGTGACCGATCGACACAATGTTTACCGGGAAAGAGAAGAGAAAGGTGGGGGACCAGATCTAAAATTTTAGCTTCGGATAATTAATAGTTTATGAGATATCAATAAAAAAAACTTTTCATACTAAACATTAAATTCTGCTTATACAGATAGCATACACAGATGTAGTTAACACTACCACCACTATTTATAGGTAGTAAGTATTGTTGTCAACTGTCGATTAACCGATGACAGAACAATGTAGACTGCCGTGTCTGTTGGGTCTCCCATGCAAAATTGGCCTCTCCTTTTAAACATCAGTGATAGAATGTAATAATAGTGATTGGTTGACCGCCTCCAACGAAGAGATTAAATAATATATCTAATCCATTTCATAATTTCATCTTTTTTTGCGTCTATATACATATGTATGTACATGGAAAATAAATTTCGTAAAATTTTTTTATTAATATCTTAAAACCTATTACCGAAGCTAAAATTTTATATTTGAGATCCACTCTCCCTACTCTCTCACTCTTGCAAATTTTGTGTCGATCAGCCGCCGGTATTATTCGAAGTACAACCGAAACTCAGTAATAAAAATATATTTAAATTCTAAAAATTAATTATTTAAATAAATAAAAAAAATTCAAGTAGATCCAAGTACTTTGTCGAATAGTACTTCAAACTTTGAGAAATGATTTGTATCATTCTATCCTCAAAAAAGATCTAATTTCTTTAAATTTTACTAAACTAGATAAATTAATATATTTTTTCACTAAAATTATCTCACTGTTTTCTACAAATAATATTTTGCTTCTTAATAAAATACTGCATTCTAAACCAAAGTTCGTTATTATGAGATTTAAGAGTTATCTTTATTCATCACCAAATGACTTAAGATCACCATCTTTATTTATTGTCAGGTTGAGTCTATTGCGGGGAATAATTGAATATTTAGAATATATTTAAAGTATATTTAGATATTATCGTAAGTACAGATCACATATCACCTTTTGATAATTATTTTGTTGATTCAACATTTAATTATTATAAAAATTTGGTTTGACATATAAAAGATGTAACAAATAAAAGAAATATATACATACATTGTATTTGTGAGCTTTTCTAAAAAATTAAATTTCAAATGTTTAAGAATTTATAACATTTTTTTATTTAAATAAATAAAAATTAGACTATTTATGAGTTTCAGCTATTCATTTAATTATAAAATTATAACGAAATTTAAAAATTTAATTCAAATGTTAATATCTATATTTTTTTGTATTCATTAATATAATATACATATAAGAACATACTAGCATGATTATTAGTAAATCTTTAAAATAAACTTAATAATTAACTTTCTTTCATAATATTAAATTTTATTGACTATTTTAAAAGAAGACAAATTATAATTAGTTATAATTACAACAAATACTTAAAATTGTAATCGTGTATAATTGAATATTTCTTTACGATAATAGTGTAATAATTAATAGAACGTATAGAAACTTTGAAATAACATAAAGAACTATAAAACCTTAATGCCCTTTATTGTAAAAAATAAACTTCAAATATTCATAAATATATGCCATTTCTATCACATCTATTTTACGTCATACACTAGTAACTTATGAACATTGTAGGTTATGTTTTTGTAGTTTAATAAATACTGCTACATGTTACTAATAATTTAATTGAAATCTTTTAAAGAACAAAAAATGGTTATTTTAGAACACGAGATTAATGAAGAAATAAAAATG